CGAGGCATAACATCTCAATACTGTCAAGGCAGCACACCTGGAAAACTGCTGGGAAATCTAAGCAGAGATGGAGGCAGGAAACTTTCCTCTTTAATTATGAGGAAATTGGTGAATAAGAGAGCTGTCTGGTGCACACAGGCTGGCACTGGAACTTGACAGTCAGCTTACTGACAGTTACAGACTCACCTATGAAGTATTTAAAGATTTCAGGGAATAGCAGTGCCTGCAGACTTGGAAGATTAGCTGAGAGGCACCACAGGAAACTCAGGAAACCAATTTTTCCCTCCCAATTTGCAGGCCAAGAGGCTCTCAAACTACTCAATTAAGTTGCTTTAAAAAGGAGAAGGGGGAATTACAGAAAGATTTTTAGTATACTTTCCTAAATCTTGTGTTAGCACCTGTAAGTTCCACTATTATTTTCTCATCATTTACAAATGCATATATGCACATAACAACAATAAGCTCTCTGAGAAAAGGAGCTAATACTTACTGAACCAGACAGTCAGAGCTGGAAGAAGTCTTGGAACAAAGAATGTCTGAATTAGAAGAGATAGTCTGCTCTTAGCCCACCCTCCTTCCACCATTTTAAAGGTGGGAAAACAAGCCCAGAAAAGAAAAGGAACTTGTATAAAGTCACAAAGGGCAGCTAGGTGGAACAGTGGATAGAGCACTAGCTTAGAATCAGGAAGATTTATCTTCCAGAGTTCAAATCTGGCCCCAGACATTTACCAGCCGTGTGATCCTGAGCAAGTCATTAGCCTTGTTTTGCCTCAGTTTCCCTCATCTGTGTATCTTTGACAAGAAAACCCTAATGGGGTCATGAAGGGTTAGACAAGACTGAAATGATTAAATAACAACACAAAGTCACAAGGAATTTAAAAAAAAGGGCTAGGGTTAGAACCTAGATCTCCCAAATCCTTTCCACTAACACTGTCCGAAGCACCTAAGGCCATGCTCACGAAACTGAGCACATGGCAAGCGTTCAGTAAATGCTTGTTGAACAAATATAGTGAGCATATAAATCTCCTGCTTTTCATTGCTGTCCTCTGCCATGGTAGTGGACAGTTATTTATTTCTCTGCCCTCCTCTAGACACTGATATAAAAATCACTAGAGTGTAATAGGGAATGGGGAGGCACTCTTCCTGGCCTGCCACAGCTCAGGGATTCAGAAGTTGATTATAGAATTGTTGCAGTTCCTAGCTCAGCTGATCAAGTTTCAGAAATGGAATGAAAGTTCACAAACCATAGTGAGCTGCCTTTTTTTTGGGGGGGGGGCAGGGCAGAAGGGAAGAAGAGAGGGGAGGTCTCCCTCAGTAAACCAGGATGACCATTAAATGCCCCCCCAACAATGCCCAGGCTCTTTCAGGTCAGGATCTTCAAGGGGCAAAGTCAAGGAGAAAGCTTCGGTGTAACCTCTAAACAACAGGGCACAGAGAGGTCTCTTTTCTGCTGGCTGGTCATCTCAGCCAGCACAGCAAGGGGAGCGGACAAGCCAGTCTTAATTGGGTTCCACCAGGCATTTCCTGGCTTTGAACAAAAGGTGCCTCCAGGGGAAAATCCTGTCTTTATGTTAAGATAAGAGAATGCCTTTCAGTCTAGTATTAGAAAGTCTTTCTCTCCACTTCCCCCTCAAGACAGAGATAATCCCTAACCTTATTTTTGCTCTTGATTGTATGACTTTAGGCAAGTCCCCTTTATTCTAATGCCTTCCCTCAGCTGATTATTTCCTACTTATCCCGATAGTGTGTTCTTAGCATGTTGTCTTCCCCATTAGACCGCGAGCTCCCTGAGAGAAAGGACTGTCTTTTGCCTGTCTTTGTAACCCCAACATTTAGCACAGTGCCTGGCACGTAGAAGTAGGTGCTTAATAAATATTTACTGACTGAATGCCCTGAACTTTAGAACCTTCCTAAGATGAGCATGACCTCTATCTCTCCTCCCCTGTGACTTAATGAGAAGGCTGGTCGAAAGCTGAGCTTCTTTGAGACAGATGCAGTGGCAGTATAAGGCAGTATTATTTGCTCAAGCTTCTTCAACTGAAAAGGTCAAAGTAGCAAAGGGCATTTGGAAAGATTTGGTAAAGCCAGCTGCTTACGCCCATCAATAAAAGACAGCATCAGATATTCATTCAGCTCACACTGCTTGGGATGGGGTTGGGGAGGGATAGGGGGTATGGACAGCAGGAATCAATGACTCATCTCAATTCTGAGCTTTGCATTTTCAAATGCAATCATGAATAATATTTTTTTCAACTACTATGTAATTTGGAAGGAAAGACACCCCTCTCCCAAAGCTGGCACTGCAATTAGAAAATTAGTAGAATAAGATTTGGGTACACAGGATACAGAAGGCTTCTTTGTATCCGTACCCCCTTTATAAGGAAAGTTAATTAGCTAATTGTTAACCATAATAGAAGGAAGATTTCACTGAAAGATTCAGAAGGCAGCCTCCAGAAGGTTGGACAGATCCCATATGAAGGACTTCTACAGGGACAAGAACCACTCATGAAAAATGAGAGGCAATCTCCGCATTGATGAGATAGAAATAGATGATGGTAACCCAACTGCAGTCCCTGAATCCCCGAGGCAGCAAGCACCAAAGCCAGGGAGTGTACACATTCATGTGTTCCACCTAGCCAAGACAGATGTAAAAGATACTCTTTTCCTTTTCCCTAAGAGGGTTGTGGAGTTGGCTTTACTGTCTCCTTAATAAAGGTAGCACATACACAATTAAGATTTAAAAAGGCCAAAAGGCAGCATGGCATAGTGGACAGAGAGCTGGCCTCCGAGTCAGGAAGAGATGGGTTTGAGGCTCCCCTCTGAAATATTCTGGTTGTGTAACACTGGGCTAGACAGTTAATCTCTTGGTGTTCTCGATCACAGATGTCAAGCTCAGACAAACATACAACAAAATAAATAAAAATACAATAGAACAGAGCAAATGTTAATGTGTTCTTCTAAGTCAATAGACACTGAGTTAATGAACACAATTTCTATTTGAATTTGACTTTGCTGCTATAGGCAACTCTCTGAAACAAGGGTTGCAGAGAGGATGCCATTTTGTATTGGGAGAAGAGATTTCCTCATGGGGACAACCTTATGCCAAGGAAATCACAGATCCAGCTCCTGATCACTCCAGAAAAGGCTATCCAATAATGTTAAAGAAAAATCTGGTGAAAGTAAGTTGGCAATAAGAAGTGAGAGGTGCCATCTTCTAGTAGTAGAATTGGCTCTTTCAAGAAGCAAAAACACAATTCGCATCAGAAAAAGGATTTACTCCAGGACACTTAAGTTGTAGCAATTGTTGTTGTTCAGTCGCATCAGACTTCAGGACCCCATTTGGCATTTTCTTGGCAAAGATACTGGAAAGGTTTGTCAGTTCCTTCTCCAGCTCATTTTACAGTGGAGAAAACTGAGGCAAACAGAATTAAGTGACTTGCTCAGGATCACCCAAATAGTAAGTGTCTGAGGCCCAATTTGAATTCAGGAAAATGAATCTTCCTGACTCCAGGACTGGCACCCAATTCACTGTGCGACCTACCTGCCTGCGCAACACTTAATATGACAGTACAGTATACTGGGGCAGCTAGGTAGTACAGTGATAGAGTGCTGGGCCTGGAATCAGGAAGATCTGACTTCAAATCCAACCTCAGACACTTACTAGCTGTGTGACCCTGAGCAAGTCATTTAACCCTTATCTTCCTCATCGGTAAAATGCAAACACACTAGAGAAAGAAATAGCAAACCAGTATCTTTGCCAAGAAAATCCCATGGACTTTGTCCATAGACATAGAGTCAGACACAGCTGAACAATAACCGCATATGGGACAATTGTACTTTATTATCTTGGGAAAAAAAAGGCACAGGAGAGTAGAATAGCATTTTTGAAGAATAAATTTGACTTCCTTTGTCTCTTGACCAAAAGGCTCTCTTTGAATTGGCAAGGCTGCAAGTAAAAAAGAAATGCCCTAATAAGTGGCCCTTACCCAGCATTTTAACCATGACAAGGTTGTGTATCAAAACCAACAACGTTACTTCTCACTAAACACAACACTTTACCCATAATTTCTATGGTTCTGTAAACTCTGGCCCTTAAAAATAAACACTTTCTGCCACAGATACTTCAAACAGCTTGCCCAGCAAGGCTACAAGATTGTCTGTTTGTATACACAACCACCAAGTTACCAGGTAAAAATGACAATATTTTTAAACACCGCTACCAGAAAACTGTAACAAGGCACTCCCCAGGAATGGGGTGGGGTAGGAGGTGGTAAGCCAGATATCTGGAGATTAAAGGATAGTTGTAAAAGGCCTCCACCCTTCCAGATCGATTATAAGCAAGCAGAAGAGCTGTTCTTAGAATACTGGAGCCAACTTTTCCCGTCACTATCCTGAAATGACTCTTCCTTAATAAAGTTCATTTGTTTAAAAAAGCGAAACCAATCCAATTCTAGAAGGCAGAGTCCATTCAGGAAGAAGGAGAGGAGGAGTTAGAGCCGAGATCCGCAAACTAGGGGAGGTGCTAAGGGAGGGCCGAGACAACTGTCAGTGACAAGAAAATCCCTGTCCCTCTATTCCTTTTCTCCTTCGCTGCTCTCTCTAGTTTCTCCCCAATTTACCCATGCATGGTTCAGCCCAGCCGGGGGCACTTGAGGCTAATCATCTCCTGACCTCTGCGTTAGGGGAACTAGCAGGACAGCATGAGTTTTAGGAGCCCTATCTTCTATTCCTCACTCCCATTTTATGCTCAGCTACATCTATGAAATGGGATAAAGGAGAAAACGATGGGACTCAGGAGTGGTGGAGGGAAGACGGAATGAGAAATCAATAATCTAAAAGTCTTTCTCTGTCACTTACCTGTGTGACCACAGTCACTTAACCTCTTGGAGGCTCCATTTCCTGATCTGTAAAATGAGGGAGTGGGACTGGAAGGTCTACAAAATTCCTCCCAGTTCTAAATCTCTCTCCAACCCCACCTCCCCAGGCCCAAAGCCACTTACCTGGGACATCTGTGGCCTGAAGTTGATATCTTTGAGGTCTATAGATCCAGGTGAGAGGTTGTGTAGCAGCTGACACAACAGCACCCCGTCCCTCAGCGCCTGGGCCAGGTCGAAGACCACGGCCGAGGGCCACACTACCCTGTGGTTGGGGGGCAGGACTTTGCAGTCAATGAGCCAGCGGCCGCACTGCCGCCACTCCTCCATGGTGGCGGCGCCCGACGGGCCCACCAAAGCCAGCCGGCTCCCCCTGCCTCTGACCCAGAGCCCGGCGTCGGGGGGGACGCGACAGAGTCGGTGTCCGTTCCCACGGGTGAAAAGCCTCAGGGTCCTACTCGGCTCAGCTTAGGGCTCAAGACGAACCTCGCGGGCCCGGAGAAAGGAAAGTGCACAGGACCTGGGCCATATCTCCCCAACTCCGGGTTGTCCCCCAAGAAAGGAGAGAAGAGAGACAGGGGATAGGGAGTAGGCGTCTGCTTCTCTCTCCTCTCTCTTTTCCAGGAGACTTTCTCCTCCCGCAAAGTGCCTCAGCTCTTCCCCACCAGCATCCGCCCCCAGTCGATCTCCTCCCGGGCGGAGAGGCTTCAAGCCCAGGCGCTGCCTGTGGGCGGGGGGCGAGGCGATCCAGGGGAGTTCCCCGGAGACAGCACACTTGGCAGAGCCGACCACTCTCCCAATGCGCCACGGCAGGGTCGCGTCCCCCCGAGGTCTCCACGTGTGTCCAACCTCTCTGGCGCGGGAAGCTCGAGCCTCCCAGCCCTAAGCTGAGGTTTGGAAAAGCCAAGAAAAAGTCCCCAGACTCTTCGGCCCAAGCCGGGTACTCCCTTCACACACACAAGTCCGGGGCTTGGGGGGAGGTTCAGCTGCCCGCGCCCGCTGCTGTCCGGGGCGCGCTGAGCTCCGGGACCGGCCAAAAGCGCCGCATTCTCTGCCCGCCCGACCGGCCGGGGCGCACACAGCTGCGGCTCCGGGCGGCCCCTTCTTGTAGCCCTCCCTCTAGGAAGTGTCCCCTCCAGAAGACAAAGAGTCCCGTCCTCCCTCTCCCCGCGGCCGCCCGGCAGCCCCCCGCCCGCCGCCGGCTGCTGCTCCTTTGTTTGCCCGGCTGGCTCGCTCTCCCCGCGCCCCAGCGCTGGCTCCTGGCAGGAGGTGGCTCGACTTTCTTCTCCGGCTACCCCAGACTCTACTCCGCGCCGCTCCTCTCCCGTCCTGTGCTCAGTTCTCCCGTCCGCTCCTCTCGGCTCAGCTCTGCTCCTCTCCGACGCCGAGGCGCAGACTAACTACAGCTGGAGCGAGTGCAGGCTACGCGTTCCCGAAGAACCCGGCGCGGAAGGGAACGCGCGCCCGGCGGCCGGTAGAGAGCGCGTTCCCTTGCTCTTCACTCACACGCAAACGGGCGCGCGCACGGAGCTCCTCCCCCTCTTTTCATCACCTCCTTCCTTCTCTCTCTCCTTCTAGTCTCCGGTTTTCCTAGCAAAGAGAAAGTTACAAGAGGTTTGAGCCCGTGTATGGCCAGTCTAGAGATGCTCTTGCAAAGAAGGGAGTTAGAGAGATTGCACTGTCATAAGCCCTCCCCGGACCCTGCCCCTTGTCTTTCCTTAAGGCCCCTTCTCCACTGCTCCTAAAGATTGGGTTCCCTCACGAGAATGCCTCCTTTGGCACCACTCTTAGCTAAGGTTTGGGACGCGGAAGAGGAAGGGGATTGGGAGCAGAAGAATTCGGAGAGCATCCACCAGCTCCTCTGCATTGGCCTGCCCTCTGTACGAAGGTTACTCTTCCTCCTTTTCTCTTCTTCCTCCTTGGAGCAAAGGTTAGGAATCCCCCTCCCAGAAGCCGGCTAGCTCTGGCGCTCCCTGCCCGTCCTTCCTCCCGTTTGCGAACGCTGGCATCTTGGATGGAATAAATGTGAAATGTGGAAACGCGAAAGAGGAAATGGAACTGCAGCAGTTCCCCTTCAGCTGGTCCCCAGCCCAGGGACACAGCATCACCTCCACCCACGCTGCAATTTAGCCTGAGCAGGATACTAGGCTTCAGCCCTAGTATTTTAACTCATTGTATGTTAACTCCTTGCTCACACTTTCAATTTCTTCCTGCCGGTATGTGCCAGTGGTGGACCGGAGGAGAGGGGTTAAGAGAAATAGCTTCTCAGCACGGATTTCTTGACAGGGAAACTGAGGCAGCAAGTTTCTTCACAAGCAGCCTGACCAGGATGGGAATTTACTAAATGTTACCAAATGATGATGCCTAAAGTAATAATCGCGCCAGCTCACAATTACATGACACTTTAAGGTTTGCAAAGCACTTTTCTCACAACTCCATGAAGTAAGCGAATTTATCATTATGTAACCCCATTACACAGATGAGAAAAAGAAAACTCAGGGAGGGGAAGTGATTTGCCCAAGTCATACAATTAGTGTTAAGAGTCTGAACTAGAATTCAAATGCTTTTTCCATTATACTGAACTGTTCATGACAGCCTGGGAATCCTAACTTGGGATTTATTTTTATGGGGTTAGAAATATCCAGGTAGTATGCTCCCTTTTCTGTACATTTTGATTTCAACCTTGAATAAAGGTATTAAACTCAATATAAAGGAAAAGCTTCCTAATAACTGAATTGTCAAAAAATGAAATGGGTTGCCTTGTTAGGTAGTGAGCTTTCCATAACTGGGGGTATTCAAGCAGAAAGTAGATAACTGACTGCTTAAGGGGGACGTTGTATATGCAAACTCCTGATTCCTTATACGTGATGAGATTCCTTTCAACAAACATTTTTTGAGCACCTACTCAGTGCAAGGCATTGGGTATGTGTATAAGTTGACTAGGGTTCTCCTGGTACCAGAGAAAGAATGAGTCAACTTTGTGCAGAGACCTGGCATTCTACACATTTAAAAGTGGATCCTTGATGAGTTCGAGGTATTCAGGAGAATAGAGAGAATTTTTTAAATCCCTTAACGGAACCACTTTCCTTCCCTCCCCAACGCAAACTGACAGGAATAAAAAATCTGAATGGAAGGTGACCTCACTCATTTTAGCAGCTAATCCTGGAATGTGTCAGCTTCCTTCCAAAGGGGGAAAAAAAAGTTACATAGCCATACTAGCGATTACAACTGCTTTGAGCCCTAGCAGGACACAGTTTACCTACAGAGATGATTTCTAGACATCATCCACAAAGATGCTTAGATAGAAAAGGGCCGAGGACCCACAAAGTTCCCAGTCTCAAAGTTCCCAGCAGCCAAAGGCTTTCTCTCCTTGACACACTAACACAGTAGCCCTGAATAATCGGTTAGATTAGAATCTGTGTGGACTCAGAGCTGGAAAGACCCCTGGAACGTAGAATATCAGTGATGGAAGGAACCTTAGAATAAAGAACATACAATGTCAGAAATGGGAAGGACCTTATAATATGTGGGTTGGTGCTGGAAGAGACATTAAGAGCCATTTAATAGAATCTCTTCATTATACCAAAGAGAAAAGTGAGGTCTACTTACCCAAGTTCACACGGTTAAATAGTGTCAGAGCTAAGCTAGCATTTCCCCAGTACCATCTAAAAGGTCTCTCCCAATTGTTTGATAATTATCTTAATATATTTTAGTTTCATCTCCCCAGTGAGATTACAAATACCTAGAGGGCAAGGACTGTTTGTCTTAGAGTGTAAGCCTAGCGCTGGCTAAGCATTTGTATTTGATAAATATTTGTTGGTTGAATGAATAAAGAGGAAGGAAAAAAATCTCTCTGCCCATATTCCTGCTTTGCTGGGTTTTTTTCTTTCAACCTGACCTGGTGTGTGTCCATGGTAACAAGTAGCCTCTCATTAAGCCACATGCTTTGGGGAGATTCAGACAGTTTATTCCTTATGCTTTCTCCCTGGGTCCCTAAGTCTCTCCATGCTGCTGTGAACAGAGACAGAGGCTGGGAATATGAGTAGAGAAAAAAAAAACATAAACTTTCCACCAATAAAGCAAGTATTGATCTGCTGCCCCCTATTGGGCTCCGAAGGCAGATAATGAATCTATTTTTCCTCCCACTCCCTAAATGCTTTGTACTGGAATTGGGATATTGCTCAGCTGTTCATTTTTGAGAGGATGACACTAAGAAAGAAACGAAGAAACACACTGTAAGTCTTTTTTTAAAAAAGACTAAATGATCATTTTCAGTAATGTGCCCAGGAAACCAGCAGTGAAATGACAAACATTGCAGGTTTACATCCTAGAGAGGGCATGTAGTGATATTATAGTTTGGAATATGAGAATGAGATTTGAAAAGAAATCATAGGGGCAGCCAAGTGTTGAAGTAGATAGAACACCAGTCTTGGAGTCAGCAGGACCTGAGTTCAAATCCAATCTCACACACTTTCTAGTTGTGTGATCCTGGGCAGGTTGCTTAACCTTGATTACAAAAAAAGAAAAAAAAACAAAGAAAGGAAAAAGGAAGAAAACAAGTCATAGACATTCAGGTTTTAAATTCTAAGAATCACTTTTAGGGTCAGACTCATCCTCTGACCCTTTCCAAAATATATTTTATATTTGATAAATATATAGTCAATATTGATCTGAGTACATATTATTTCCTACCTCTCTCTCTTCTCCCATAGAATATAAGCTCCTCAAGAGCAAGGATGGTCTCATTTTTATATCATTTATTTTTTCCCCTCAACACCTAGTAAAGTGCCTGGTACATAATAGGCATCTAATAAAAATAATTGTTGAATGAATGAATGAATAAAACAATAATCCCTTATTTCATTTCTCTTTAGCAAGCATTTATTAAATATGTTCTAGGCACTTATAGTAGGTACTGAGAATCCAAAAACAAGGAGCTAATTAGAATCACAAAACTTAAAGGGACCTCAATGGCTATTTAATCTAAACCCATACCCAAGGGCATCCCTACCAATAAGTGCCTAAGTGGTCCTGCAGCTTCTGCTTAAAGGTTTCAAAGAAAGAAAAAGCCACAATCTCACATAGCAGTCCATTCCACTTCTGAATAGCTCTACTTCTTCAGAAGGTTTCCCTGAAATCAAGTGTAAACTGGCCTGTTCCCAACTCCTACTCATTGCTTCTAGTTCTGCCCTCTAGATAAATAAAATGAGTCTAATTCCTCTTTAACATGACAATCTTCAACTATTTGAATTCAGCTATCACATTCCACCCTGAGTCATCTCTTGTCCATGTGAAAAATCCCCAGTTGCTTTACTTCCACTCTCCTGGTTACCTCCTGTACCTTATCAATGTC